ATTATATATATATATATGTGTGTGTATATATATATATATATATATATTCATCCACGCCCGGAGAAGATGTTACTTATTAAAGCAAGCAAATATAGACTGGGGCCCTGATACATATATTATATAATTCAGCAAGAGCACCACAAATTAATATCAGGTAATCAAGTTTTGAACCACCCAAGGAATAAGTTATTACTTAACAGATAAGTACTCTAGTTTATGTTTCTTTTGCATTTCCTTGTTGCTTCACAAAAGTGAATTTTTCCTTCCACGTACATGCACCAATTAGCTGATATCTTGATCTGCAAGAAATATATGATCCATACAATATCCAATCTAAATATTACAGATCAATGCCTTATAAGATTTGGTCTTTTTTTTTTATCACGTGTATAGATTTTTACAAGAACCAATAATTGAATAACGTGAAGCAATCAGACGCTCTCACAGTATATATATACACATATGTCACAGATTATATGATAATCGGTCATTGGGGGTTTATTAATTAATTTACTCAACGTAGTTTCCCTAAACTAAGAAAAGGAAAATCCAAATATTCAAAAGCTACCAATTCATTTGCAAAAAAAATATATACGTCAATATTCATATATAGATTAACGGCGAACAATTGACTTTAAATGAATGACATTTTCTGTGCAAGTAATGCTATAGGGCATTAGTGGTGTTAAGCACCACCATCTAATAAAAGGTGAATCCTGCAACGTGAGACTCACTTTCTATTAGATGATGGTGCTTAACATCGCTAATGCTCTTAAGCATTTTTCTTTCTATGCTAAACATTTAGCATATAATGAACTTGACTTTGTTAACACTGAGATCGGAAAAAAAAAAAAAAAAAGGAAATTGACGATCAAACACTTTGGGTACTAGTAATATACAAATATGCACTAGGGTTGAACGTAGCCGAATCCAAAAGCTCGTTGTCGCGTTCAAATATGGCCATTTTTTCTTCCTCCAACGTCACCCAAGCTTCTATTCCATCCCCTTCTCTCGTGTCCACCAGAATTATAGAATTTTTGAACGTTAGATTCGCACTACTGACCCATATAGGCTTTCCCCACCCAAAGTCTGTCTCATATAACGGAAATTTACACCAACTTGAGCAGCTATAAAACTCCATCTCCTTAAACTCTGCCCATTTCCCAAACTCACCAAGTACTGACAAACTATGGTCTTTGAACTTTTTAGCTTTCTCATTGCAAAACTCATTCACCAACCTCTTCATCTTGTGGACCATTGTGCGCAAGTCCATCTCGCTCTCTTCTATCACCACCGGAACAAACCATATGAGGTTGCCGACCGAGTTCTCGGGCAACGGCGGGTCCGTCCTCGGGCGCAGATTCACCGAGTGGAAAAGAACCGACGTCTTAAATGACCCCGTTACCGACCGAGAAGCGGCGATGGCGCATTTGAAGATTTGAGCCATAACCACTTCAACTCGGGACGGGTATTTGTTGATCATCTGGATGTTGTGATCAATTGCGCCCACTTTGTCCTTGAGATGAGAAATCTTTGAGGCCTCGAACACAAATCTCTTCGTGATCAAATTCCCGGATTTTATGTCGGTTCGCTGCGCGAAGGATAAATCCCTCGGTGGAAGCAAAGAGTCTCCGACAAACACCGGGGAACCTGCTTCACCGGAAGAGGTCCAGCCATGGAGGAAAGTAACGAGTGAGGAAATGTCGCCGATCTTGTGGGAAATGCAGACACTGACGGCTGTACCGCCGCATCGAAACCCCGTAATCTGAATTAGGGTTACGTAGCCTTCCGATAATTGAGCGGTTAGCGGATCGGTGGTTGGAAGGAAGTTGTTCAACAACTCACCGTCAGGTTTTCGGAGAAAATCAGAGAGCTCACAGTCCATCTTGGCTTCCACAAAGAAAGCACCGTCGTCGGAGCAGTCGATGGAGGGTTCAATGGCGTTTGTCCGACCGGCCATGGGGTAGAAAGTGGTTAAAGTTCGAGAGAGAGATTCCCTTAGGCGAGAGGACTGTTCTGAAAAGTTTGTGCCGGTTTCTGCAGGGTAGAAGAAAACGATAAGGCCGTACATTGGAGGAATGATCTGATCGAGAAGAGATAGCTTGAAGATTCTGAGGTGATCCGGCGTCGGAGAGGACGGTTTGATTGTATTTCTCGCGATGATATCGACCTTACCAATACCGTCCATCTTTTCCTTATCTGAAATTCTTTTTTTCTGATGAATTTGTGATCCATTAAGAGCTAGAACAAGCCTATTTATTTATGTGCAGGATTCTTCAAATTGTTTCTTGAGTAAAATGATGATCAACAAGGAATTTAATTCTTTGTTTTTCTTTATTGATCAAGTTGTGCTCTTAATTTAATAAAATAATAATCATAATGATAATATTTATTTAAAAAGAAAAACATAAGTTTCTTAATTCAAAGATTGTGGCCTTTGATCTTCCGCAGTCAAACCTTTTGAGGGAAGCATGCATTTGCCTCCATTGTCTCACCTACTAATTTGAGTTTTTAAAAACTTTATTAAGCGGGTCACAAGTTTCTAATTAACATGGTCAAAACTCAACTGCAATGCTTTCCTTCTTGAAAATTTTGAGGTACTAATATCCAGATGTAAGTTTGCTTGTTTAGGGGTTCAAAAGAAATTAACAATGAGATCAAGCCTTATATTAAATTTATAGAGTAATTAGGCTGTGGATCTGCAGCGATTAATATCGTTCTAGCTAGATGCCCGCATGAAGGGAATACGTTGAATGCGTTGGCCATGTGACCTTCATAATTGCATTCAATTGAGTAAGAGACGCTAAGCTGTCACCAAGTTAAGTGCGCTAGTCGCGATGTTTGAATAATATTTTAGCTAGGCATGATGAGGAGCATGCTGCTTCATTTATTTGTTTATTCATTTTTTAAGCGAAAATTTCATTTTCAAACTTAACAAGTTGCATGTATATATACCTAAACATAGTTTCAAATGGCCATTAAATATAAGAGAGTTCGACCCTAGATCATATCTCAATTGGATTCATTACGGATAAAGCATAAAGGCGAATACAAGTGTCAAGATTTAATGAGAAAAAACCTGTTAGGCATATACAAAAATAAATGAGAACAAAGTACTGGTAAACTAACATGGTATCAGAGCGGAAGGTCCTGAGTTTAAACTTCCGTAATTGCACTCTTTATCCTCATTTAAATTGTCATTATGTGTTAGGTCTTTAATATATTTCGGGCTTAAATATTCACGTGTTAGGCTTTCTAATTAATTTACTCATATGATTGCCTATTGTCCAGCCTACACATGAGGGGGAGTGTTAAAGTATAAAACTATTGTTGGTCCACCTCCTAACAGCTTAAGCTTTTGGGATGGATTGATAAACTAACACAAAGCTTATTAGAAAGAACCACTATAGTCAGTGAATTAAACCAGTTAAGTGAGACCAAACTCTTGTGAATATTGAGAACACAAGTGACACAACTTAAAAACAAATAAGAATGGAGATAACATGACAAAAGGAGGACACCTGCATGCTATCCAACTATCGAACAAAGACATCTTCTTTCTCTCGATTCAGCATCCCGCCATCGTTGAATCATCTCCCACCACCAATCAACGCTGGTCGTCAGCGCTATTCTCCATCGATCCCAATGTTCCCTCTCCTAAGCTACAACGCTTAAAAGGATCCTTGGTTCCTTGCGACAATGCGTAGGTGCAAATCGCGCCTCTAAAAGCACCCAAAAAGACCCCAAGCGCCCAATTGCCTGCCCTCACGCACGCATGCGGTGCATACTAGCAGCATACACTCTCATTGCAACGAGTATTAAACACATTAATTTCCATATAAAATATTAATGCTATTAAGGCTTTGGAGAAAATCAACTCCGCTTGGCTCTGCATTTCCACATTTATAAAATGACAAAAAAGTAAAACACAACAACTTTTCCAAGTAGTGGGCCTATATATGTGTGTGTGTGTAATTGAATTAATTGCAAATAAAGTAATTTAAACTTCTATTTTCTTATTAACTCCAATGTGGTATTTGAAGAGACTGTTGTTAAAATCAGTTTAAGAGTACTTTTATGCTAAATAATTGATAATCCAAACCAATATGTTGGATTAGATTGGATTCGGAGTCATTTTGAATTGACAACAGACTGAAAAAATCTTAATATGAAGATTTTGGACTGATTTACAGCTTGAGTATTTCTCAATCTGTGAATCCGAACTATATATTGATTAATTCTCTTTTGATTTTTATTTAATCTAGTTTATTAATAATTTATCAGGCTGTAACATATTAGATTTTATTAAATTATTTTATATATAATATTTTTATTCTAATTCCTAGCAGTGAGAAAAATGAGCCTTCAAAAGTCTTAACTTTAAAAGGCCCAAATCAGAGCCCAATCTATGGAATTTGAATCTACAAAATTCGATGGATCCATTCCCCGCAGGATGGAGCCCATGGGCTCACCCCGAAAGGGACGGGGATGGGAACTAATCACCAAGCATCCTAGCGATTGTATCTCCCGAGTAACTATTGAGGGCTCTGATGAATTGGGAAAACTAAGCCAAATCCACGAAAAAGGAGAACCCCAGAGACAATACAAGTTTAGAATTTAATGCCACAATAATCAAGTCTATCCTCATTTAAATTGTCATTATGTGTTAGGTCTTTAATATATTTCGGGCTTAAATATTCACGTGTTAGGCTTTCTAATTAATTTACCCACATGATTGCCTATTGTCCAGCCTACACATGAGGGGGAGTGTTAAAGTATAAAACTATTATTGGTCTACCTCCTAACAGCTTAAATTTTTGGGATGAATTGATAAACTAACACAAAGCTCGTTAGAAAGAACCACTATAGTCAGTGAATTAAACCAGTTAAGCGAGACCAAACTCTTGCGAATATTGAGCTAATGAGGTATATATAGTTTATCCAAAAAAAAAGGATAATAAAATAACTATTAAGATGATATTGACATGTTGAACAGTAACGAAAACACATAACAAAGCAAAGTTGATATGCTGAAAAATGTCGATACAAATAATAAAAGAAACGACAATTATAAGTAAATTATATATCAACGTATTATAGCATGTACCATCCTATAAATAAAGAAAAAAAAGAGAATTTCAAGTTTAACTGTTATTGTTTCCAACTCTATTATTTATGTTATTACACAAAATTTTAATGCCATAACGAAAAACTACTTGCAGGTTCCATATATATAAATAAATAAATAAATAAATAAAAAAAAACCTACAAGTTATAAAAAATAACCAGCAGGTTACAAAAAATAACCTGTAGATTATGAAAGATAACTTATAGATTATTAATGGTATGAAATAAATTTACAAAATAGTTTTACTTTAATAATGGCATTTTTGGTTTTCAAATACAAATTCACAAGAAATTCACAAGTCGTGGTGGCGGGGGAAATGAGATAGATAATAAAAGGCAATGCCAAGATGACTCAACAAACCGCATTGATGACGGGACCAAAAAAAAAAATCTTATTGAGAACGCTTGAAGTATTTAGGATTCCCATTGACGGGTTCCAAAGAAATTAGAAATTAATTTGAAGAAGCCTATGAAAGAATCTCTAGTTGATTCTCAAATAAGGCCACATTTTCTTTACTCAAAGTGAAGATGACTTCCACTCGCCTCTAAAAGCACCCAAAAAGACCCCAAGCGCCCAATTGCCTGCCCTCACGCACGCATGCGGTGCATACTAGCAGCATACACTCTCATTGCAACGAGTATTAAACACATTAATTTCCATATAAAATATTAATGCTATTAAGGCTTTGGAGAAAATCAACTCCGCTGGGCTCTGCATTTCCACGTTTATAAAATGACAAAAAAGTAAAACACAACAACTTTTCCAAGTAGTGGGCCTATATATGTGTGTAATTTAATTAACGAAAACAGTAGAAAATAGGCCAATATAAAAAGCTTAAAAAAATATATAGGTCAATTTTTAGCTATAGAAATTAATAGGTCGTCAACCTCGTAGAATTGAAAGTTGCACCAACTGGTACAAAAAAAGTAGTATACATCATCTCTTGTAACTAACTTCCTTCCTTCCATAAAATGCTCAACGACAGCTTGAAGTCCTTCGTCCCCGCGGAACCTCTTCGCTTTCCTTTACCAGACAAGTTATGGACGAAAACAGTAATTTGGCCTATTTATTAACTTATGTAAACTATTGGCCTATTAATTTTAATTCATCTCAAATCTTAGCCTATTTCCCTCTTTCTCCCTTTAATTAATTGCAAATAAAGTAATTTAAACTTCTATTTTCTTATCAACTCCAATGTGGTATTCGAAGAGACTGTTGTTAAAATCAGTTTAAGAGTCTTTTTGTGCTAAATAATTGATAATCCAAACCAATATGTTGGATTAGATTGGATTCGGAGTCATTTTGAATTGACAACAGACTGAAAAAATCTTAATATGAAGATTTTGGACTGATTTACAGCTTGAGTATTTCTCAATCTGTGAATCCGAACTATATATTGATTAATTCTCTTTTGATTTTTTATTTAATCTAGTTTATTAATAATTGACTAGGCTGTAACATATTAGATTTTATTAAATTATTTTATATATAATATTTTTATTCTAATTCCTAGCAGTGAGAAAAATGAGCCTTCAAAAGTCTTTAACTTTAAAAGGCCCAAATCAGAGCCCAATCTATGGAATTTGAATCTACAAAATACGATAGATCCATTCCCCGCAGGATGGAGCCCATGGGCTCACCCCGAAAGGGACGGGGATGGGAACTAATCACCAAGCATCCTAGATTCCTAGCGATTGTATCTCCCGAGTAACTATTGAGGGCTCTGATGAATTGGGAAAACTAAGCCAAATCCATGAAAAAGGAGAACCCCAGAGACAATACAAGTTTAGAATTTAATGCCACAATAATCAAGTCTAATTAGTACAATAGCTAATGAGGTATATATAGTTTATCCAAAAAAAAGGATAATAAAATAACTATTAAGATGATATTGACATGTTGAACAGTAACGAAAAGACATAACAAAGCAAAGTTGTTATGCTGAAAAATGTCGATACAAATAATAAAAGAAACGAATATTATGACTAAATTATCTATCAACGTATTATAGCATGTACCATCCTACGAATAAAGAAAAAAAAGAGAATTTTAAGTTTAAGTGTTGTTTTTTCTAACTCTATTATTTATGTTATTATACAAATTTTAATGCCATAACGAAAAACAACTTACAGGTTCCATATATATAAAGAAAAAATAACCTACAGATTACGAAAAATAACCTACAGGTTACGAAAGATAACCTATAGATTATAAAAGATAATATGCAAATTATGAAAAGATAACTTATAGGTTATTAATTGTATGAGATAAATTTATAACAGTTGCAGAAATAAAATAGTTTTACTTTAATAATGACATTTTTGGTTTTCAAATAAAAATTCACAAGTGGTGGGGTGGGAAAAATGAGATAGGTAATAAAAGACAATGCCAAGATGACTCAACAAACCGCATTGATGCCGGGACAAAAAAAAATCTTATTGAGAACGCTTGAAGTATTTAGGATTCCCATTGACGGGTTCCAAAGAATTAGAAATTAATTTGATGAAGCCAATGAAAGAATCTCTAGTTGATTCTCAAATAAGGCCACATTTTCTTTACTCAAAGTGAAAATAACTTCCACTCCATCACCATCTCTGGTGTCCATGAACAGAATCATGTTCTCGTACGTGTTACTCGGGACAGTCACATAAACAGGCTTTCCAAAACCAACGTCAACCTCGTAGAATTGAAAGTTGCACCAACTGGTACAAAAAAAGTAGCATACATCATCTCTTGTAACTAACTTCCTTCCTTCCATAAAATGCTCAACAACAGCTTGGAGTCCTTCGTCCCCGCGGAACCTCTTCGCTTTCCTTTCGGTGAAGTCTTTAATTCCTTGCCTCAGTTTAGCCACCAAACCCTGCAGCTGACACTCCAATGGCTCAGTACTACCCTCGTAAATGTTATTCTCTACCTGCAATGCAAAGTAACTCACGAGGTTTCCCGCGGAGTTCTGCGAAAATGGCGGCTCAACTCTTTTGCGCATGTCCACACTTTGTGTCACGAGAGAATACCTTGGCGTCACCTGGGCGGATGATGAAGCTGCCATGAGGCATCTCCAAAGGAGGGCTGTCACTACTTCAACCTTAGTAGGTTGTTTGACGCTGTCACTCACTAACTTGGCCTTTAGAGCCGCGATCGTTGATTTATCAAACACGCATCTCTTCGAAACGCCTTCCACCCTTTTCAGCTCCAGCGCAGCAGGAGGCGCGAACGAGAAGGTATCTCTGGGAAGGTAGTAGGAAGCCGCTTCAAAATCCGGAACTGCAGTGTTAGCCCACGTCTTCAAGAATACGCTCAGCGTGGCTGCGTCGGCCAACTTATGCGACACACACACGCCTACTGCCACTCCTCCGCAGTCGAAGAAAGTGGCTTGAACAATTAATAATGGCCATGTGCCTGCTTCTGGCGATTCCATCGCGGCAGGAAGGAAGCGCCTTATGAGTGCCTCGTCTTTGTGTTGCTGATCTAGAAAGATGGAGAGGAGGCAATTGAATTTCGCTTCGACATACTGAGCTCCGTCGTCGTGGCATTCGATGACGGTGTTGTCCTTGACTCTCCCGGCAAGCGGGTAGAAAAGAGTTAAGGCTTCAGACAGAGATTTCTTAAGGTGGTTGGATGTTTGGTCGGGCGTGAGGACATTAATATTAGGGTAGAAAAGAACCAAAGAGGTGTAAACTGCAGGGACAATTTGATCGAGAAAAGAGAGCTTAAAGGTTTTAAGGTGAGAAGGAGTTGGAGAAGATGGTTTTATGATTTCTCTTCCAATGATATCAACCTTCATGGTATTCTCTGCCATATCCCTCCTGGTAATTAATGGTCAATTCCTCACGCAGTTTGTGTCGATTTTTTTCTGGCATAACGCTTAGTGGAGATACTGGTTTAAGGGACTAATTGTTTTGATCACCCTCCATATCCTTTGATACCTTTTGAAACATATTTAAATCCACATGTTTTTTTTTAAATCTTTTGACGTCCCCAAGGAGAAATAGATTGATTAGTTAATATTATTGGTAGGGAACTAGCAGCCGGCCATCTTTTGTACTTGATCTCTTTGCAATCTATTTGGATTGATCTGAATGTTTTAGTCTTCCCAGAAGACAAATAAAACAGTCTGAGAAAACGAGGGAGGTAAATAATAGAATATTAAAATTCAGTTAGAAGTAGTTGTCCCGTTTTGTTTAGGAATTCAACAAAAAGTTAAAAGAAAATTGAGTTTATTAACTAAACACTATAGGCTAGATTATGAAACAATCAAAATGAGTTTGTTAACTAAACAATAGCATTTTAAAAGAAAATTGTTAGACTAAAAAATAAGTTTATTAACTAAAAAAATAGTAAAGATTGACTATATGTGATTTGTAATAATTATAGGAATAAATCCAGTAAATCTCTCAAATCTATCAAATTTGAATATGGGATAAATCCGATTTATCTCCTATTTATTTCATTTAGTTATGGATAAATCCTATCATGATATAATTATATATGAAGCAGATGAAGAGTTATTTGTTTATGTGTTATACCTTGGCTCACCACATTCTTTTTATGTGCCACTTTGAGATTATTATTCTTTTCTTGTAATATTTTACAAAGTTTGCCCTTAAAAGTTTTACCAGATCATTTGTTCCTAAACATGCATGGTCAAATTAGGCTCAACTGTACCATTTTCCTTCTTGAAATTTTAAGGTTCTAATAAAATCCAGTTGTAACTCTGCTTGTTTAATTGTTCATAAGAAATTAACCATGAGACTAACTCTTCCACATATATAAAGCCCTTTTTAGGAAAATTGACAGAAAAAAGCAAACAATATATCTTCATGACGTTTGGACTGTTAATAATAGTTCATTCAATTGCTATGTTGGTTGCTCTGTTAATTTTCTTTCACAGGCTGGATGGGAAATTTTGAGAAAAATCCTCTACTCTAAACCCTAGATTCTAATTTTCAGAGAGATTTTTAATGACTTTTGTTTGTATGCTAACAGAGATGGCAAGTGTTCAAATGTTCAAAAAAAAAAAAATCGCTTGACTGCTACAGAACATATTCTACGAGTAACAAGCGCTAGAAGTTTCCCGATTTCATCCTTAATCTGTTGTACTCAAAAGAGTTAAGGCTTCAGAGAGATTTCTTCAGGTAATTAGATGTTTGGTCGGACGTGAGGACATTATTAATATTTGGGGTAGAAATAAAAAATCAGAGAGGTGTAAATTCCAGTCTTAATCTGATCCAGAAAAGTGAGGTTGAAGAGTTTATGGTGGGATGGCGTTGGAGAAGATGGCTTTATGGTTTCTCTTGCAATAATCTCAACCTTCATCTCCGATCTGCCATAGTATATATCCCTCCTAATATACCTGAATTTATTTTTTACGCAGTTTCTTTGGATATTTAAATGCCCTTCACATCCTTTGATGGTCGTTTGACAAATATTTAATAATGTCCACGTGCATGTTTTTTTAAAATTTTTGTTTCTAAAATCCCTACGCAAGTAATTAAAATAGATTGATTAGTTTGTAGCCTTCTAGATAGGGAGCTAGCTATTGTATTTTCCTTTGCCATCTATATGGATCAATCTAAGCATACGCTTAGAGTAAGGATCTGTGTCATGATTCGTAATTCGTTATAGTATTTTTTTCATAAAAAATACACGTAAATCAAGAATAATTCTGAATTATGATTCTGAATCTATGAACCAAACGTTCTCTAATATTTTCAATAAGAAATACACTTTTGGGTTGTTTATTTCAGCTATTGGGACCTTTGGGTCCAATTCTAATCGTTCTTAACGATTCAAATCGACGTTTGGATTAGCGAAAATAAGGGGTCATTCAAACCACTACAACCAACTCAAACCATTCTCAAACTATTAAGGGTGTGTTTGGCTGCCTAAAAAACTCAAAAAAAATGCAATTTGAGTTTCAATTTTATTCAAGTTCATGTTTTTTTTAAATTTGAACTCGAGTTTGAGACTAAAACTCGAGTTCAAGTGTCCCTTTCAACTCGAGTTCAGAAACTCAAACTGAACAATATTTTTTCTATTCTTAAAAATACTATAACTTTTTTGTTTTAATCCTGATTGAGATGATTTTTTTCTATGCGTTGACAATGAAAAGACAAATAAAACTCCACCCATATACCCTATTAAAATTTTTCATCACCATTGAGTTTTTATTAAAATACTATCTAAATACAAATTTAAATTTTGACTCACTCAAACACAAACTCAAATTACAACTTCAACTCAAGTTATAACTCAAATTTAACTCAAAAATTACACTCAAGTCACACTCCAAAAAAACAGGCCCTAAAATTAGAATTCATACCCCTCTTGAATTTAAACGATTCGAATGGTTTTGCTACAGTGAAATAAACATTTTTTGTTTTTTTTTTCTCTCATCAACTTAAATCTTAACAATGTCATAATTTTTCTTTTTAATTCCGATTGAAATCTTTTTTTAATGCGTTCCTAATGAAGAGATGAATAAATCTTCATTCATAGTGCATGTTTTTGAACGTCATTTACAATGAGATTTTTTAAGATTTAATATAACACTCTAGTGATAGTTTTTATCACTTTATTCAAACACAGTTTAAATTTTATTCTTAATTTAAATTACAATTTATTTACATATTTAAACAACAATTTAAATCCCAATTTAAATTTTACAATTCAAACCAAAAAAATTTCAAACCTTCACGGTTTGAATTGTTAAACCAAATGAAGTGGGCCCTATTGGAATTTTTCTCACAACTCACGACTAAAGCGTTAATTCATCCACGTACGAGTATTGCCATGTGAACTCTTTAATTTATTTATTTTTTTTCCTAAAACTTATTTTGTGGGCCCTCCACTTATTCTCTCTCATTATTTTTTTCAAAAATAGTCAAAAATAAGCTAATATGAAAAGCTTAAAGAAGTATATAGGTCAACTTTTAGTTATAGAAATTAATAGGTCATAACTTGTCAAGTTATGGTTCATAACCAGATAAGTTATGGATAAACTTGTCAAGTTATGGTTCATAGTCAGATAAGTTATGGACAAGAACTGTGATTTATGGACAATAACTTGTCAAGTTATGGTTCATAACCAGACAAGTTATGGATGAAAACAATAATTTAGCCTATTTATTAACTTATGTAAACTATTGGCCTATTAATTTCAATTCATCTCAAGTCTTGGCCTATTTCCCTTTTTCTCCCTATTTTTTTTCCCTAGGTATTTTTCACAACTCACAACTAAAGCGTTAATTTTTTTTCTTTTCTTTTTAAAGCATCCAATAAATAACGAATAAAAGTTACAAGTGATAAGAGAAAAGAAATGAGATATTTAAAGAAAGAAAATTGTTAGACTAAAAAATAAGTTTATTAACTAAAAAAAATAGTAAAGATTGACTATATATGATTTGTAATAATTATAGGAATAAATCCCGTAAATCTCTCAAATCTATCAAATTTGAATATGGGATAAATCCGATTTATCTCCTATTTATTTCATTTAGTTATGGATAAATCCTATCAAGATATAGTTATATATGAAGCAGATGAAGAGTTATTTGTTTATGTGTTATACCTTGGCTCACCACATTCTTTTTATGTGCCACTTTGAGATAATTATTCTTTTCTTGTAATATTTTACAAAGTTTGCCCTTAAAATTTTTACCAGATCATATGTTCCTAAACATGCATGGTCAAATTAAGCACAACTGTATCATTTTCCTTCTTGAAATTTTAAGGTTCTAATAAAATCCAGTTGTAACTCTGCTTGTTTAATTGTTCATAAGAAATTAACCATGAGACTAACTCTTCTACATATATAAAGCCCTTTTTAGGAAAATTGACAGATAAAAGCAAACAATATATCCTCATGACGTTTGGACTATTAATAATAGTTCATTCAATTGCTATGTTGGTTGCTCTGTTAATTTTCTTTCACAGGCTGGATGGGAAATTTTGAGAAAAATCATCTACTCTAAACCCTAGATTCTAATTTTCAGAGAGATTTTTAATGACTTTTGTTTGTATGAGATGGCAAGTGTTCAAATGTTCAAAAAAAAAAAAATCACTTGACTGCTACAGAACATATTCTAACGAGTAACAAGCGCTATAAGTTTCCCGATTTCATCCTTAATCTGTAGTACTCAAAAGAGTTAAGGCTTCCGAGAGGACATTATTAATATTTGGGGTAGAAAAAAAAAATCAAAGAGGTGTGAATTTAAATTTTTTATGAAAGAAAAACACCGTAAAGAACTAAGAATAATGATTTGGAAACAAAGGATGAATCTTTAAAACAAACATCTCATTAAATGTTAATGATTTGAAACATAATGATGCGAAGAAAAAGGAAAGGGAGAGAGAATTTCTTTTCTTTTCTTTTAAAAGCATCCAATAAATAATGAATAAAAGTTACAAGTGATAAGAAATGAGATATTTAAAGAAAGACAATACCAAAATGACTCAACAAATAATGATCAAAAAGGCAGAAAATTAACAAACAAACGTAGGATATTTGGGTTCCTAAGAATTGGAAATTAATTTGAAGAAGCGAATGAAAGAATCTCTAGTAATCGATTCTCGAATAAGGCCATATTTTCTTTCCTCAATGTCAAGACGACCTCCACTCCATCCCCATCTCTTGTGTCCATCATATAAATCAAGCTCCCGTAGGAGTGAGATGGAATAGTCACGTGAATTGGCTTTCCAAAACCCAAGTCAGCCTCGTAGAATTGAAACTTGCACCAACTTGAAAAAAGAAAGAAGTGGGCATCATCAAATCTTGCAAAAGTTTCCTTTCCTTTCTTAAAACTCTCAACAATAACTTGGAGTCCATTGTCCCCTCCGAACCTCTTCGCTTCGTTTTCGGTGAAGTCTTTGATTTCTTGTCTTAGTTTAGCAACCAAATCCTGCAGTTCACACTCCAGCCGCTCAGTACTACTCTCGTAAATGTCATTCTCCACCAGCAATGGAAAGTACCAAGCAAGGTTTCCTGCAGAGTTCTCTGGAAACGGCGGCTCAACTCTTTTGCGCAGGTTCACAGATTGAATCAAGAGAGAGTACCGCGGTGGCTTCACCGGAGCAGCGAAAGATGCCGAGGTTGATCGTGGAGCTCCCATCAGGCATCTTGAAATGATGGCGGTGACTACTTCAACCCTAGTAGGTTGCTTGACGCTGTCACTGTCGAATTTGGCCTTAAGAGCGGCAATCTTTGATTTATCAAACACGTACCTCTTCGCCACGCCTTCCACCCTTTTCAGCTCCAGCGCAGCAGGAGGCGCGAACGAGAAGGTATCTTTGGAACGGTAGTTGGAAGCTGCTTCAAAATCCGGAACCTCATTGCCGGCCCAAGTCTTTAAGAATATGCTCAGCGTGGCCGCGTCGACCAACTTGTGCGACCCGCACACGCCTATGGCCACTCCGCCGCAGTCGAAGAAAGTCGATTGAACAAGCAATAAAGGCCATGTGCCTGCTTCTGGTGATTCCGTCGCGGCTGGAAGGAACCGCCCTATGAGTGCCTCGTCTTTGTGTGGCTGGTCTAGAAAGGTTGAGAGGAGGCCACTGAATTTCGCTTCGACAAAATGAGCTCCGTCGTCCTGGCATTCGATGACGGTGTTGTCCTTGACTCTCCCGGCCAATGGATAGAAAAGAGTTAAGGCTTCAGACAGAGATTTCTTCAGGTGGTTAGATATTTGGTCGGAAGTCATGAAGACATTATTATTAGAGTAGAAAAGAACCAAAGAGGTGTAAATTGCAGCATCAAACTGATCGAAAAATGAGAGATTAAAGATTTTAAGGTGGGATGGAATTGGAGAAGAAGGTTTTATGGTTTCTCTTCCAATAATCTTAACCTTCATCTCCTCCGCCATATCTCTCCTAGTATAACTGAACTTATTTCTTACGCAGTTTCTATGGATGTTTCTTATGGCCGCCACAAAGGATTTGCAGAGATGCTGGTTTTTAAAGGACTAATTGCGTTGTTTTGATCAATATTTATATCACCTCAACTTTTTCAATACGATCTTCTGACAAATATTCTTCAATATTTTTTGTTTTCAAAGATGTCCACTTACCAGATTAAGGAATTAATAAAGCAGTCAGAAAGCATTTATTCTGGCAGGCTTTAGTTTTTTAGCGCTTCGATTACTTTTTGAAAATGAATCATATTCTTTAGTGCAACATAAAAACGACCAAAAAAAAAAAAACGATTAGACATATAAATATCCTTTTATATGGCGCACTTTGTTTACAAATTAATCAAATGCACATTTATTCTTAAGTTTTGGGACATCACATGGCAAGTCATGTTATTCTTAAGTTTTGGGACATCACATGGCAATTGTTAAAATTTTAAAAAAAAAAAAAAAAAAAAAAAAAAATTCTTCAGTACTAAGGAACATATATAACAAACGGCTAGAAGTTTCCAATTTCAATCCTTATTTGTTGTGTACTTAGAAAATCTAGTTAAGTTCACCAACTACGAGTACGTACAGTAGAGGAGTCAGAAATTTTTTTGAAGGGGGACGTAATGGAACCAAATTTTAAAACTGAAAATTACAATACAAGTACATTTTCTTAATTTTGCCTCTCCTTTTACCTCTACTTTATCTACTTTATTATTTTTTATTATTTTTTTCTGAATAAATTAAGCTTGTAATAGAATTTAATCCACTTTTTAAAATTAAAGCCCATAAAATATAAATTTACCAGTACTATAATTGATTTTTAGTTTATTTGAGGTTTTAAGATTGTAAATGAGTATATTTAAAACTCAAATATTAGGGCATAACTGAAATCTTTTTGAAAATTCTATTTCGATATGGCAATTTTAAAGTTTTTAAGGAGGGTAAATGATAAGTAAAAAAGTAAAAGAAAACAAATTTTGGCCAAAAATAAAAGGAGCCATTGGGCCCAAGGGCAGCTGCCCCCTGAGCCCAATGTAACTCCGCTCCTGAATATGTACATTCTTTCTTGGAGAAAGAAAAAAATAGATTAAAACTTGAGATAAATTAAAATTAATAGGTTAATAGTTTATATAAGTTAATAAATAGGCTAAATTATTATTTTTGTCCATAATTTATCTGGTTATGAACCATAACTTGACAAGTTATTATCCATAAATCACGATTTTTGTCCATAACTTGTCTGACTATGAACCAAGTTTGTCCATAACTTGACAAGTTTGTCCATAACTTATCTGGTTATGAACCATAAAGATAAGTTATGAACCATAAATTGACAAGTTATGGCCTATTAATTTTTATAACTAAAAGTTTGCCTATGTACTCCCTTAACCTTTTCATATTGGTTAACTTGACAAGTTTGTCCATAACTTATCTGGTTATGAACCATAAATTAACAAGTTATGGCCTACTAATTTCTATAACTAAAAGTTAGCCTATATACTTCCTTAACCTTTTCATATTAGCATATTTTCTACTATTTCTGATTCTTTTTTAGCTTTCTCTCTGCCCTACTTTGTTTGGTCACTTTCCTTTAATTTTTATATTTTTTAGTCCTACATAATTTAAATTCTCATGAAACAATTTGCAGTTATGTGTTATTACTCAATGATTTCAAAACTTTACGAAGCAAAGAAAAAAAAAGAGAGAAATTATATTGGGAAGGGAAGAGATTTTTTTTTTATTTTTTTTTCCTTATAAATCACCTATTATACAATGTGTCATCCTATAATCAAGATGACCTCTACTCCATAACCATTTATTGTGACCATCAACAGAATCATTTCTCGTGGGCCATATTCTCCTCTAGCAAGATGCCTAAATAATTTATAAAAAAAAAAAAGACCAACAACAACAACAACAAATAACTCTATTTCCTCCTTACCCGCTATACTCCGCAGAGCTTGTTTATAAACTTATATCCTTTTGCTGGTATATACTAAATCCGACGCATCAAATTTGAAGCAGGGCCTTTCTCTCTCTTCTGTATCCCCTATTTTGTTTGGTTAATTTCCTTTTTTGTCTTGTCCTACATAATCATCTAATTTAAAGATAATTTACAATTAAGGAGAAATTAGGGGAAAACAAAGAGAAAACTTCCATATGTCGTTAATTTATGAGATACTTAAAAAAAGACAATGCAACTTATTAATAGCCCAACAAACAAACAGAAAAACGAACAAAAGCAACATATTATTAAGAAAACTCTTGAAGAATTTCTGATATTAATCTAAAGAAGATAATGTAAGAATCTCTCTAGTTGATTCTCAAATAAGGCCATATTTTCTTTACTCAAAGTCAAGAGAAGCTCCACTCTCCATCACCCTTTATGGTGTCCATCAATATGATCGCGTTCTCGTAGGAGCTACTAGGGATTGTCACATAAATTGGTTTTCCCAAACCCAAATCAACCTCGTAGAATTGAAAGTTGCACCAACTGGTACAATAAAAGAATTGCACATCATCTCTTGCAATTAGTTCCTGTCCTTCCATAAAATGCTCAACAACAGCTTAGAATGCCCCGTCTCCTCGGAACCTCTTCGCTTTGTTTTCGGTGAAGTTTTTGATTCCTTGTCTCAGTTCAGCCGCCAAATCCTGCAGTTCACATTCAAATGGCGCCTCAGTAGTACCGCTCTCGTAAATGTCATTCACTAGCAGCAACGCAAAGTAGGCAGCGAGATTTCCGGCGGAGTTTGGCTAAAAAGGAGGATCAACTCTTTTGCGCATGTCCACGCTGTGTGTCATGAGAGAGTACCGTGGCTTCACCGGAGCCGTGGATGAGTCCGAGGTTGATCGTGAAGCTCCCATCAAGCATCTCCATGTTAGGAAATTTTATTTCCTATTATCAATTGTGGACAACATATTAATTCACAATTATATTACTGCTATTACAATTGATTTGAAAAATCAGATGGTTAATTTAGGAAAGTCTAATAAGTTTTCTAATTGAATATAGACTAAATGGGTGCATATCAAATATTGATTCAATTAAGTTTAATGGGGCCTAATGGGATAATATATTAAGGAACTTATGGCTATGGTCTCTAATACGTTAAATCATACGGTAGGTGTTCATTCTTTCCTATTAAGAGAGAAAACACGCATTCAAGAATCTGGTGATTTGATTGAGAAAGGCGATAACCTCAAGAACACGTTGTCGAAGAGATTTTCTGTTGGAGATTAAGACTGCACCAATAGAGACAGGTTTTTATTCTAACCTATTTTCTTGATAATTTGGTGTGATAATTCCTAATATGTGGGTTCAATGATTAAGACCAACAAGTAGTATCAGAGCAGTCATCATATTAAATTATTGAGAGAATTTTCATCTCTAATATCTCCAATTGAATTATATGTTGTTTGGTTCCTATGATTTTTTGTCTCTAAAATTTTTCATATGCTTTATTTTGTTGAGAAAAGTATGTTTATTGATAATCACATAAATTTTCGGTGATCAAACTTTTAATCAAAATATATTGAATATTTTTGGATTATTTTATTCATATTATTTTGATTTTTTTGGATTAAGGAATTTGGAATAAAGGAATTAAAGAAATTCGGTATTTTGAGAAATTTGGAAACTTTTTGTTCCTGGAAATTTTTGTATACAGGCTCAAGATCATGGCCGGCAGCTGTGCCTTGTTATAGTGACACATGTAAGAAGAAAGGAAAAGTCTTTATATCATTCATTTATTAGAAATTTTGCTGCATCTCTTCTTAATAATTATGATGACAGAAATAGGAAAAACATATCCTTGATTATGCTAATAAAGACAAAAAATCTTGAAAATTTAATAATAATGATAATAATAACAAATCTAAAAAAAAATATAATAACAACGACAGCTACCACTATATTTTTTTGAATACTAAGGAACATATTCTGACAAACGGCAAAGAAAGAGCTTGTATAAGTCCGTCTGCTGCCATATATATACGAAATTTAAAGGCATTAAATTTAAGGCCAGCCTTTCTGTCTCCTCTCCGGCTCCGCCCTATTTTGTTTGGTTAGTTTCTTTTTTTTCTTTTTTTCTTTTTTTTGGTCCAACATAATTCAACTTTTTACAATAATTTACAGTTTTAAGTTGCAGTCTCACTCAACGATTTCAAACTCTATGAAGCAACGAAAATAGAAAAGGAAGAAGAGGAAGAGAAATTAGTGGAAAAAAGAGCAAACTTCCATATGTCGCTTATTAATGATATATGTAATTAAAAAAGACAATACTATGTAAGATGTCACAAGAAAGCAAAAACAACAACATATTAAGAACTATTGAAGAGTACTATTTCCCTTTTAATGGACAAGAAGATAATGTAAGAATCTCTCTAGGTGATTCTCAAATAACGCCATATTTTCTTTACTCAATGTCAAGAGAATCTCCACTCCATCACCATCTATGGTATCCGTCAAGATGATCGCATTCTCATAGGAGCTACTTGGGACAGTCACACAAATTGGCTTTCCCAAACCCAAGTCAACCTCGTAGAATCCAAAGTTGCACCAACTGGTAAACACAAAGTATTGCATATCATTCCTTGAATTTAATTGCAGTTCTCCTAAATACTCAACGACAGCTCGGAATCCATCTTCCCCTCGGAACCTCTTCGCTTTGTTCTCGGTGAAGTCTTCGATTCCTTGCCTAAGTTTGGCCACCAAATCCTGCAGTTGATGTTCAAGTGGCTCGCTACTGTTCTCGTAAGTCTCATTCTCCGCCTGCAAGGCGATGTACGCCACGAGATTTCCAACGGAATTAGGCGAAAATGGCGGCTCAACTCTGTTTCGTATGTTAGCAGCTTGTGTCAAGTGAGAGTACCGTGGCTTCACCGGATCTGTGGAAGATCCTGTGGTTGATATTGAAGCTTCCAATTTGTGTATTGATTGTAATCGGATTTGATTGACATTATTTTGAGAATGTTTTGCTGGGATGATTGCATTTGGAAATATCTATGTAGCTGGCAAGTTTCTTTTGGCAAGTTTCAAAAAATCCAGAAACTTGTTTTAGTTTCTATTTTTCTAAGTCATCCATTGATTTAAAGATGGAAAATTGATTTGATTGATTTTTGATTGAGATTTCATAGCTGGATGATCTTCTTATGTTGCCTAAGAACGTGTCCAGGTTCGTTTATCAATTTTGAGAAGATTTCAGAATTAAAGAAGATTGATTCGTCTGGTTTTGAGAAAGTTGGCCGTAACAGCTATGTTGCAGTGTTGTTGCAACAGGATCTGCCACAGATGTGGTTCAGCGAATTAATTGAAGATGTGTCAAGCTATTCACAGCTTGCTTATTTATTGAAAGAGTCTCTGGAGTAATTGGAGGTCTCTTGATGAGTTTTTACTGGGTTGTGAGACAGGGGTGAGCACTTGTATTGAGTGAGATGATTTGAGAGTTTTTCGGGAGAAAAACTTTGTTGGAGTGATTCCAATGTTAAAAAGTCAAGGGGATCTCGTTGTTCAAGTCTATTGGAAAATTGCAAGTTCATAGGCGTCTTCTTAGAGAGGGAGTCTCGGGTAGATTAAGTCCAATTGAATTGTAAAAGAGTTCTTAGTGGATTGTTCATCATCTGGGCGTGGCCCCGCGGAGTAGGGTGTTACCGAACCGCGATACCATTTCTCTCGTGTTCTTTTAGTTTATGTCTCTACATTATTCATATTGTCTTATAATTTATTAAAAGACTAAAACCGGTACTAACAATTGGTATCAGAGCAGGTCACTGACGTGTATTTCGGTGAAGTCCTGGTGTACTGGTTGATTTTGCAGGAATGAATATCTTGAGAGAAGGAGGATTTGTGAACAAACCACCGCTTTTGGAAGGTGTTCTTTTTTTTGGTCCAACATAATTCAACTTTTTACAATAATTTACAGTTTTAAGTTGCAGTCTCACTCAACGATTTCAAACTCTATGAAGCAACGAAAATAGAAAAGGAAGAAGAGGAAGAGAAATTAGTGGAAAAAAGAGCAAACTTCCATATGTCGCTTATTAATGATATATGTAATTAAAAAAGACAATACTATGTAAGATGTCACAAGAAAGCAAAAACAACAACATATTAAGAACTATTGAAGAGTACTATTTCCCTTTTAATGGACAAGAAGATAATGTAAGAATCTCTCTAGGTGATTCTCAAATAACGCCATATTTTCTTTACTCAATGTCAAGAGAATCTCCACTCCATCACCATCTATGGTATCCGTCAAGATGATCGCATTCTCATAGGAGCTACTTGGGACAGTCACACAAATTGGCTTTCCCAAACCCAAGTCAACCTCGTAGAATCCAAAGTTGCACCAACTGGTAAACACAAAGTATTGCATATCATTCCTTGAATTTAATTGCAGTTCTCCTAAATACTCAACGACAGCTCGGAATCCATCTTCCCCTCGGAACCTCTTCGCTTTGTTCTCGGTGAAGTCTTCGATTCCTTGCCTAAGTTTGGCCACCAAATCCTGCAGTTGATGTTCAAGTGGCTCGCTACTGTTCTCGTAAGTCTCATTCTCCGCCTGCAAGGCGATGTACGCCACGAGATTTCCAACGGAATTAGGCGAAAATGGCGGCTCAACTCTGTTTCGTATGTTAGCAGCTTGTGTCAAGTGAGAGTACCGTGGCTTCACCGGATCTGTGGAAGATCCTGTGGTTGATATTGAAGCTTCCATCAGGCATCTAAAAACGAGGGCGGTGACTACTTCAACCCTAGTAGGTTGCTTGACGCTGTCACTGGCGAATTTGGCCTTAAGAGCGGCAATCTTTGATTTATCGAACACGTATCGCTTCGCCACGCCTTCCACCCTTTTCAGCTCCGTTGCAGGAGCAGGCGCAAACGAGAAGGTATCTCCGGGACAGTAGTAGGAAGCCGCGGCTTCAAAATCCGGAACCGCAGTGCCAGCCAAAGTCTTCAACACTATGCTCAGCGTGGCTGCGTCGGCGAGCTTGTGCGACACACATATGCCTATTGCCACTCCGCCGCAGTTGAAGAAAGTGGCTTGAACAAGCCACAAAGGCCATGTGCCTGCTTCCCGCGATTCGATCTCAGCAGGAAGGAACTGCCTTATGAGTGCCTCGTCTTTGTGTTGCTGACCTAGAAAGGTTGAGAGGAGGCCGTTGAATTTCGCTTCGACGTACTGAGCTCCGTCGTCGCGGCATTCAATGACGGTGTTGTCCTTGACTCTCCCCGCGAGCGGGTAGAAAAGAGTTAAGGCTTCAGATAGAGATTTCTTCAGGTGGTCAGATATTTGGCCGGATGTGATGATATTAATGTTGTTTGGGTAGAAAAGAACAAGCGAAGTGTAAACTGCAGGAATAATCTGATCGAGAAAAGAGAGGTTGAAGATTTTAAGGTGAGATGGAGTTGGAGAAGATGGTTTTATGGTTTCTTTTCCAATGATTTCAACCTTCATCTCCTCTGCCATATCCCTTCTATTAGTGAGTTTATTTCTTAGGCAGTAATTTGTTGTGTGGATGTTTTCTTATGGACGGCACAACGTATTTGCATAATTGCTGGCTTTTAAAGGGACTAATTGCCTTGTTTAGATCAATACTTAAATATGTTTTTGACAGATACGTAGGGAGCTAGCTGGACCAATATTGTTAATTTGAACGATCTGTTGAGTTTGCAATCTATTTGGATCGATTTGAATTTTTTTTTTCTTAGTACAATTTGAGAAGTTATAGAGAACTGTTTGAGAAAGAGAGGGAGGCAAATAATCGAACATAAAATTCAGTTACAAGTAGTTGTCGTTATGTGCTCTATAGGGTTTCCTTTATCTTGATGACGTCATTTTATGAGGATAATGTTGTTTTTTATCTTGATTTCATTGTTAGTTTTTTTTTTTTTTTTTTTTTTATAGCATTTTTTTTTTTTTTTTTATAGCATTGTTAGTTTAAGTTTTCTTGTTCATGTTTTGGATCGAAGTCGTTTTCTATGGTTTTTGTCGTTTTATCAAGGATACGTTGATTGTTATCGCATTTATGTTATTGTCGTTTATTGATAATTTTGACGCCGTTACGATCTTTTTCTCCTTTTCAGATATCATGATCTTTTTCCCCCTTTTAGATATCGTTTTTAAATTCGTTAAATTTGAAACTTCAGTTCGTTCCACAAAAAAAAAAATAAAAAATAAAAACTTCAATTTGTCATTGAATATCATTACATTTTCGTATAAAAAAATATTATATGTTTAAATAATCATATATACCTCCGTTATAATCTGTAGGTTAGGATCAACATGATTGATTGGGTGGCTGGAAGCTGACTGAACAGCTTAAAAGAAGAACACAACAAATAATATATATAATCATATATTATATGTCATGGACGATGTAGCAAGGCGAGCAAGAATTTCCCCTACAATATGTATTGGTAGCCTGTTAATAACGGAAGAATCCATAATATTTGTTGGGATTTGTTTCCCAATTTGTGTATTGATTGTAATCGGATTTGATTGACATTATTTTGAGAATGTTTTGCTGGGATGATTGCATTTAGAAATATCTATGTAGCTGGCAAGTTTCTTTTGGCAAGTTTCAAGAAATCCAGAAACTTGTTTTAGTTTCTATTTTTCTAAGTCAACCATTGATTCAAAGATGAAAAATTGATTTGATTGATTCTTGATTGAGATTTATGCAGATGATCACACCAGCAATTATGTGGCTTTCACTGTAAGAAATGAATTCTCAGATAAAAATTTATTTTTCACTGATAATGTTGTTACAGAGTCTGTTGCAACAGCGTCTGCAACAACCTCTGGTGGAATTGTTGATGATACAGATTTTGGGGATGAAACTGAAGATGACAGTGACGATGATGACTTAAGCCTTGGGAAGATTTAGGAGGCTTATAAGAAGATGTACAGTAAATGGCTTGTTGTTTGCAAACGAAACAAATCACTTGAAGATGAAGTTGATGTCTTAACAAAGGAAAGAGATGAGTTGAAGAAAGCTGCAACAAATTATGAAATCTTGACAACAAAGCATCAAGGAAAGCTTGCTGAGACTAGACTCAAATTGGAGCAGACCCAGAAGAATTTAAGGATGCTAAACTCGGGCACATCAAAATTGGATCACTTACTCTCACAACAAAAAAACT